TGGGAGGTCCTCCTGGAATAATTCCTGAAGAGTGTTTTCCAACTTGGGTCCCACTCTCCCCCGTCAACCTTTCAGGTCATCAATCAGTGGGATTTGTAGATTGGTCTTTTCACATAATCCCATATTCTTGAGGCTTTGTGTTCTTCCTTACTTCATTTTTTCTCTAAATTTCCACTTCATTGTCATTCATTGTTTGATCTCCACATGATTATCTCAATAGATGCAGAAAAGGCCTTTGACAAAATTCAACAGCCTTCATGCTAAAAACTCTCAATAAACTAGGTATTGATGGGACGTATCTCAAAATAATAAGAGCTATTTATGACAGACCTACAGCCCATATCATACTGAATGGGCAAAAACTGGAAGCATTCCCTTTGAAAACTGGCACAAGACAGGGATGCCCTATCTCACCATTCCTATTCAACATAGTGTTGGAAGTTCTGGCCAGGACAATCAGGCAGGATAAAGAAATAAAGGGTATTCAATTAGGAAAAGAGGAAGTCAAATTGTCCCTGTCTGCAGATGACATGATTATATATTTAGAAAACCCCACTGTCTCAGCCCAAAATCTCCTTAAGCTGATAAGAAATTTCAGCAAAGTCTCAGGATACAAAATCAATGTGCAAAAATCACACGCATTCCTATACACCAATAACAGACAAACAGAGAGCCAAATCATGAGTGAACTCCCATTCACAACTGCTTCAAAGAGAATAAAATACCTAGGAATCCAACTTACATGGGATGTGAAGGACCTCTTCAAGGAGAACTACAAATCACTGCTCAACAAAATAAAAGAGGACACAAACAAATGGAAGAACATTCCATGCTCATGGATAGAAAGAATCAATATCATGAAAATGGCCATACTGCCCAAGATAATTTATAGATTCAATGCCATCCCCATCAAGCTACCAATGACTTTCTTCACAGAATTGTAAAAAATAAAGTTCATATGGAACCAAAAAAGAGCCTGCATTGCCAAGACAATTCTAAGCCAAAAGAAGAAAGCTAGAAGCATCATGCTACCTGACTTCAAATTATACTACAAGGCTACAGTAACCAAAACAGCATGGTACTGGTACCAAAACAGAGATATAGACCAATGGAACAGAACAGAGCCCTCAGCAATAATACCACACATTTACAACCAGCTGGTCTTTGACAAACCTGACAAAAACAAGAAATGGGGAAAGGATTCCCTATTTAATAAATGGTGCTGGGAAAACTGGCTAGCCGTATGTAGAAAGCTGAAACTGTATCCCTTCCTTACACTTTATACAAAAATTAATTCAAGATGGATTAAAGACTTAAATGTTAGACCTAAAACCATAAAAACCCTAGAAGAAAACCTAGGCAATACCATTCAGGATATAGGCATGGGCAAGGACTTCATGACTAAAACACCAAAAGCAATGGCAACAAAAGCCAAAATTGACAAATGGGATCTAATTACACTAAAGAGCTTCTGCACAGCAAAAGAAACTACCATTCAAGTGAACAGGCAGCCTACAGAATGGGAGAAAATGTTTACAATCTACCCATCTGACAAAGGGCTAATATCCAGAATCTACAAAGAACTTAAACAAATTTACAAGAAAAAAATCAAACAACTCCATCAAAAAGTGGGCAAAGGATATGAACAGACACTTCTCAAAAGAAGGTATTTATGCAGCCACAGACACATGAAAAAATGCTCATCGTCACTGGCTATCAGAGAAATGCAAATCAAAACCACAATGAGATACCATCTCACACCAGTTAGAATGGCAATCAATAAAAACTCAGGAAACAACAGGTGCTGGAGAGGATGTGGAAAAATAGGAACACTTTTACACTGTTAATGGGACTGTAAACTAGTTCAACCATTATGGAAGACAGTGTGGCGATTCCTCAAGGATCTAGAAGTACCATTAGATCCAGCCATCCCATTACTGGGTATATATCCAAAGGATTATAAATCATGCTGCTATAAAGACACATGCACACGTATGTTTATTGCAGCACTATTCACAATAGCAAGACTTGGAAGCAACCCAAATGTCCATCAATGATAGGCTGGATTAAGAAAATGTGGCACATATATGCCATGGAATACTATGCAGCCATAAAAAAGGATGAGTTTGTGTCCTTTGTAGGGACATGGATGCAGCTGGAAACCATCATTCTCAGCAAACTATCGCAAGGACAGAAAACCAAACACCGCGTGTTCTCACTCATAGGTGGGAATTGAACAATGAGAACACTTGGACCCAGGGTGGGGAACATCACACACCGGGGCCTGTTGTGGGGTGGGGGGCTGGGGGAGGGATAGCATTAGAAAAAAAATAATGGGTGCTGACGAGTTAATGGGTGCAGCACACCAACATGGCACATGTATACATATGTAACAAACCTGCACATTGTGCACATGTACCCTAGACCTTAAAGTATAATCATAATTTAAAAAAAAAAAAAAAAAACACAACAATGGCAATTTTGCTCTAAACATATTCCAAAGGAAACTTACCATATTGGAAAAAGCCACAAACTGCACCAAAAGCACTCAAATCGAGGTGAGCTTGGCTTGATTAGGGCTTGTGTTCTCCTTAGCAAGATCAGTACCTTTCCCTCAGTCACTTCAACAGGAAGAGTAGATGCTCTGCAAAGGCTGCCCTGCCAGTAAACTCCCAGCCAGAAAATGTTGCCTTTGCATCCTGAATTTATACAGGCATACTAAAACTAAAATCTTTGTTGTTGTTGTTGAGATGGAGTCTCGCTCTGTTGCCAGGCTGGAGTGCAGTGGCGCGATCTCAGCTCACTGCAACCTCTGCCTCCTGATAAAACTAAAATCTTAATCCTTATGCTTCCTTTTGATATCATCACCATCATACAGAATCCATGATTAGAAGTCAACTACTTTAATTCCCCCAGAGGTGGCAAACTCGAATGCTTACAGGCTCCAAGAAGATAACACCAAATAGCAAAGCAGCAGTCCACTGACAGTAACTAGGGCAGACATACCTGCCCTGCCCAAAGTGGGCAACCACTGCAGTTTAGTTTTTGTCATGTGAGAATTCAGGCACTGTATTGCCAGATCCTACTGTTAAAAGAGAACTCCGAAACCTAGACCTTTATGAGAAATCTTCTAATTTTTATACAATGGAAACTAACTCAAAATGTTTTTAAACACCTCAAAGTGGGGAGAAGAAAAGAAAGGTCTATAGACTACTTTCAACCCATGAGCCACCAAGTACAACTTTTATACTATCGTACAGCCTCTGCCCAAATAACTCAAGTGACAGGGAGCTCAGTTCCTCTAAGAGAAGGCCATTTTGGAATAGCTGTAGTATTATGATGCTTTTACTTATATTAAGGAGCTATAAGCTACCTCACATAACTTCCATTCATTAGAATATAAAAGTGACAATTTTATATTAACATGGAATTATATTCTTCTAAGTGTTATTCTATCTCTCTCTCTTATCTCACTTGAACCTCTCATCAACCCCAAAGATAAATAAAACAGATAGACTGGAAATCTTTCCCAGTTAAAGCTGAAGTACAAAGACGGTATTGCAACTAATCTTTGGCCAATCTGTGAGTTTTCACATTACATATAAAATCCAGTCTTCTAATTCTCATTTTCCATTGCTCTTTCCATTCTGACACAAAGCCTGACACCTTGTAGTAACTGAGATATGATGTACTATCTTACATTCACTCCTGCCAGCATTACCAAATTCCCGTAGAGTATAAACCAAACATTTTAATACCTAGTAGTGCTAGAGGGCTCAGTGGGTGGAAATCCAAAGGCATTGACATGAAACACTTGATCTTCAAACCAACCTGAAAAAAAGTAACATCACTTTCATTTGTCTAATCCTCTGTGTTTGAAAGGACAAAATTATGTTACAACAAAGCAGTAATGTCAGGCTAGTCTTATGCCCTGTGAACTAATTACAGAGGTTGCCAGCCTCAACTTTAGATCCACAGAGTCTCAACTTATAAAGTTCATTAAATAGAAATAGATTCATAACTTTTCGCTTTTCAGTTTGGCAGTACGTGTTGAAATACATATTAGGAAATGTTTCATTTTATGGCCCTATATAAAATTAAGTGTTTTTTTCAACTTTATTGAGATATCATTCACATACTATACAATTCACCCTTTAAAAGTATATAATTCAGGGCCGGGCGCGGTGGCTCATGCCTGTAATCCCAGCACTTTGGGAGGCTGAGGCGGGCGGATCACAAGAAACCATCCTGGCTAACATGGTGAAACCTCGTCTCTACTAAAAATACAAAAATAAAAAAAAAATTAACCAGGTGTAGTGGCAGGCAACTGTAGTCCCAGCTACTCGGGAGGCCAAGGCAGGAGAATGGCGTGAACCCAGGAGGTGGAGCTTGCAGTGAGCCGAGATTGTGCCATTGCACTCCAGCCTGGGCGACAGAGTGAGACTCCGTCTCAAAAAAAAAACAAAAAAAAAGTGCATAATTCAGGTCGGGCATGGCTCATGCCTGTAATCCCAACACTTTGGGAGGCCAAGACAGGTGGATTGCCTGAGCTCAGGAGTTTGAAACCGGCCTGGGCAACATGGTGAAACCCCGTCTCTACTAAAATACAAAAAATTAGCCAGGCATGGTGGCATGCACCTATGATCCCAGCTACTCGGAAGGCTGAGGCATAAGAATCACTTGAACCCAGGAGGCGGAGGTTGCAGTGAGCCGAGATCACATCACTGCACTCCAGCCTAGGTGACATAGTGAGACTCTGTCTCAAAAAAAAAAAAAAAAAAGTGTATCATTTGGTGATTTTTAGTATATTCACAAGTTGTGTAGCCATTACTACTATCTAACTTCAGAACATTTTCATCACCCCAAAAAGATATCTATTAGCCCATTAACAGTCTAAGAGTTATTTTGCCAAAAATATGCTCTTCTAATTAATGGTATCCCAAATTATATCATGTTAACATATTTTACCCAAAGCAGAAATAGTTTTACTGGAGAATGAGAAGGAGGACAGTAACAAAGTATACTGACTTACCTTCTGCTAAGACAAAGCATGCCTCTGTGTATAAACCACTATGGAACTGGTATACAACAGCTGAGGAAAATAATTCTATTCTTGAGGCAGTAATAAAGTCAACATCCATTTTGAGACCAACAAGGCTTCTAAATAATAAATTCAAAGACTTCCCATTTGAAACTGTGAATAGACCACAGCTTAGAAAGAGCTTTAAAAAATTTAGGTTTAAATGTCCTCATGTTTAATTCTTGGTAATATTGACAGGGTGGATCATTCTTACCATGATATAAACTTCGTCAGTCATTCGTCTAGATTCTTCAAATAAGAGGAAATTAAAGTTGTTCTGTCTCTGTTTAGGATTATATCTCTATATTCCTATACCAGCAACATAGAGAAGTTACATTGAGAACCCAAATAGGTAAGTTTTAGAAGGAAATATAATCAATTTCCCCAATTCACATAATGCAGATTTTAAAAAATACAGACAAGTGAAGGATATAGCTTTACTAAGGTCTAGTTGTACTGTTCCAGTAGGATCTTCCAGAAAAAATTTTCCCTAAAAAAAAAATGAAAAGAAATAAATCCACATTTATGTAACAATGAAAACTATGACCAAAAAATGAAACTACAAGTTTGACAACAGAATACAGTAGGGAGAAAAGTGGATTTTAAAAATCAGCTATTATTTCTAGTCCAGGCTCTTCCATTTACTAGTTTGATAACCCCAGACTAATCACTTAACTGAGATTCTGACTCCTCACAGGTACAAAATGGAGAATGACTCCTACAGATAAAAAATGGCAAGAGGGACATTCAATGTCTGCCATACGGAGGGTCTCCCCAGGTACCTTCTAAGACAGCCAACAGCATCTCCAAGTGACCAGGACATACTCTGCAGATTGCTTGTTCAGAAACCCAGTACTCTCTGTTTATCCAGAGGTCACTAGGGGCCTAATTTCAGGCTATGCAAACTGGGCTCCCGGACAAGACACAGTCCTGATGTCTACTCAGGAAACCAACCACAAACGAAAAAGACACTTGGTAACTGAGAGAAGTTTTTTGTGTTTTTGTTTTCTGTTTTTTTTTTGACTATTACAAAAGTTTATTTAACAAAAAGTCTAATATGAAAATGAACATGACCTAATTTTTACATCATTGTAAAACAGGCCCTATGGAGAGAGGAAATGGGTTTCTCTGCTGAACAGCCATTATTTTATTTTATTTATTTATTTATTTTGAGACAAAGTTTCGCTCTTGTTGCCCAGGCTAGAGTGCAATGGCACCATCTCGGCTCACTGCAACCTCCACCTCCTGGGTTCAAGCAATTCTCCTGCCTCAGCCTCCAGAGTAGCTGGGATTACAGGCATGCACCACCACACCCGGCTAATTTTGTATTTTTAATAGAGACAGGGTTTCTCCATGTTGGTCAGGCTGGTCTCGAACTCCTGGCCTCAGGTGATCCGCCTGCCTCGGACTCCTAAAGTGGCTGGGATTACAGGCGTGAGCCACTATGCCTGGCCAACAGCCATTATTTATCCTTATTCCAAGGCTTCTAACATGATGATACTATTTCCTTATATTACCACTATTCCAATATTGTTCTGTTGGTGAGGAGAGTTTTCAATAAAGAGTACATTCCTATGCCCGCCACAAAAATGTTCTATGTAACCGACATTTTATCAATCCAAGGCCAAAACTAAAAGTTTGATGTTTATTAAGTTACCTCTTTTAACTGCGTTATCATTCCAAGAACAATCACATCTCCGATTTTGGTTGTACTACCCAATAAGGTTTCTATTGTTTTAAGCTAAAATAAAACAAAATAAATTTTAAAGACTATAAATATATTCTTTCAAGAAACTAAACTTTTTATAAGTAAGTAAATTTGGGGTACACATTTCAGCATTTATAGCTACTTTACAGTAGAAAATCAAATAAAATGGAAATAAAGTTGTAAAATTAAACTTAGGATGTTTAATTTTGTCCTACAAAAAAGCTGTAAGATCGAGTGTATGATGGCCTGAAAGAATCATGCCTAAAGAAACACCACATCAACTCAGGCTCTTACCAATGACTGAATCCACACCATATCATTCCGAATAATGAAAAGTACATTTATTTTTAAAATATAGAAAAGAATATCAATTTTATTTTATTTGAACAGTACCTTTTGAAAATTAGCAAGCTATTTAAAAATATATATTCTAATTTTACTTAGTATTTTAAAAGGCTCTCATTATTATTTACATTCTCAATCTGATCTTTTTTTCTAATCAGAAAGTTTAAGGTAGTAAAAATTGGGACACCATTGTAAAAAATCCTTGCCACCCGGGCACAGTGGCTCACACCTGTAATCCCAGCACTTTGGGAGGCCAAGGCGGGCGGATCACAAGGTCAGGAGATCGAGACCACAGTGAAACCCCATCTCTACTAAAAATACAAAAAACTAGCCGGGCGTGGTGGTGGGCGCCTGTAGTCCCAGCTACTCAGGAGGCTGAGGCAGGAAAATGGCGTGAACCCAGGAGGCAGAGCTTGCAGTGAGCTGATATCACGCCACTGCACTCCAGCCTGGGCAACAGAGCAAGATTACATCTCAAAAAAATAAAAATAAAAATAAAAATAAAATAAAATAAAATAAAAAATCCTTTCCAACTTTTTCTGTATGTAATCCTAAATATATGTAAATACATACATATATAACTTATGACACACACCTATACAGTTTATTCACAAAGATGAAATCATAGTATATGTACTATTCTGCAACTTAACTTTTTGAAGTTAATATCTGAGATATCTGTCCATTTTTCTACATATAAATTTCCTTCTGTTTAAAGAATAGAGATATCTATATTATACATATGACCATTTATTTCACCAAACTCCCATTAAAGGACATTTAAGTTGTTCCCAGTTTTCTACTAATAAAAACAATTTTTAATATTTCTGTGCACCTTTCTTTGGCCCACTACAGCGATAGAAACTTTTTTCTTTTTTTTTTTGAGATGGGGTCTCACATTGCCCAGGCTAGAGTGCAGTGACACTCTCATACCTCACTGCAGCCTTCAACTGGGCTCAAGTGATCCTTCCACCACAGCCCCCTGAGTCACCAGGATTACAGGCACTAGCCACTGCATCCAGCTACAGATAATAATTGTTGAATAAAGTTCTACACATTCTAGAAACACAATTGCTAGATAAAAGGATATATAAGTTTTCATATTTATAGAAATTACCAAGTAGAGCTTCTTTTATCTTTACGTTTTATCTTTGTTTTCTAATTACAAATAATTCATGTATACTATAGAAAAAAATTTAAAATATAGACAAGAAAGAAATAAAAACTTATACAATCCTAACATTCCATAGTAATCACATTAACATTTAATACTGGAGTTACTCTTAAAAAATCTGAACGTAGGGCTGGGCGTGGTGGCTCACGCCTGTAAACCCAACACTTTGGGAGGCTGAGGCGGATGGATCACTTGAGGTCAGGAGTTCAAGACCAGCCTGGCCTACATGGCAAAACACCATCTCTACTAAAAATACAAAAAAATTAGTTAGGCATGGTGGTGTGCACGTATAATCCCAGCTACTCAAGAGGCTGAGGCGGAATTGCTTGAACCTGGGAAGAGGAGGTTGCAGTGAGCCAAGATTGCACTACTGCACTACAGCCTGGGTGACAGAGCAAGACTGTCAGAAAGAAAGGAAAGAAAAAGGAAAGGGTGAAGGGGGAAGGGAAGGGAAAAGAACCTAGCCAAGTGTAGTGGTGCACACCTGTTGTCCCAGCTACTCAGGAGGCTGGGGCAGGAGGATCACTTGAGGCCAGGAGTTCAAGACCAGCCTGGGCAACATCACCAGACCCCATGTCTCTATCAAAAGAAAAAAAAAAAAAAGAACCTAAAACAACACAGGAGAAGTAAAAATAATAGTATTTTTTAGCACATCGTTTTTGCAATCTGTAAAGGGATATTATCATACAGGTAGATAAATGTAATTTAAGTAGGGAATGTGCCATCACAGATACAGAATTAGACAGTTCGAAAAGAATAATTATTTAGTTAAGCCTTAAATTACTTTGTCAAAGAGGAGACGAGGGAAAAGGCTCCTGGGCTGTGGGGATCTCAGTTGCCAGAGAAAACCTGATATAGAAAACATATAGATGATCTTTGGTAGGGAAATATAAGTAATGCCAATTTCTAAAACCTAATTTATACTCTAATAAAAGTTTTGTTTGTTTGAGGGGGTCCTTACACTATCACCCAGGCTGGAGTACAGTGGCATGATCTCAGCTCACTGCAGCCTCAACCTCCCAAGCTCAAGTCATCCTCCCACCTCAGCCTCTCAGGTAGCTGGGACCACAGGTGCACACCACCATGCCTGGCTAATGTTTTTTATTGTTTGTAAAGATGAGGTCTTGCTATGTTGCCTAGGTTGTGGGATCCATTTGTGTTCTCACATTCATTCTATAAATGTTGTTTCCTTAGTACCTTAAGTAAAGTTTTCACTTCAACCAATGTAACACATTCTAGTTCAATAACTGTGTGTGGTGGTCACGAGGGATGAGTTGGGCAAGGAACCAGTATTTGAGTTCCTTAGTGCTATGGTCACTAAGGGATGAGTGAGGGCAAGAAAAGAAATGTTGAAAAGTTATCAGAAAGCCAGTGTAGTATCCAAATGGGCTAGAAAGCTATCTTGGAGGCCAGAGTGTATCTGGGGCTAGCATTGTATCAGGGCCTTCTCAAAGGAAGCAGTAGCTTCTGATAGAGATTTGTGGGACACAGGACTCTAGGAATGGACTATATCAAAAGTGGGCATGCAGCCAGTCCAGTTAGCTAAACAGTTACCAGTAGTTTATTTTCATTTAAAATTCAACAAATTAGAATTAAGCAACAAATATTAAACTTATACACTTATATCCCCTACATAACTACGATAATGTTCTAACCTGGAATTTGCTTCCGCTTTCATCAGGGTGAGAACCTATCACCGGAGGAGTAAATAATTCATGCCTGTGGGTCCTCTATAAAAAAGAAAGATTCACATGAATTCCTGAAACAGACATTTAAATGTAAGATTCACTAAAATAGTGTCCTGATGAAACATTGTCCTTAAACTAATGTCACTATTACCCATTCTCAACAAATTTGAAAACCCACATAATTTAACATACAAATATCTAGTAATATAAGTTTTAAAATTAAAAAAATAAAAGTAAAAATTTTAAAGGTCTATTGTGCATATGGCAGCAGCACATAGTGGGCTGAGGATATGAAGAACAACCAAGTGTCACTCTGAGAGCACTGGGGCTACTGAAAGAGAAGTGCCACCGCACAACAAAGTACTGTGAGGGCTGACTGTACCCCAGGCCAAAGGGGCCATTGAACAACAGCCCAGATGATAAATAAGGTTTGGGTAGTAAGAAACAAAAGGAGGCTGAGATAAGACATTTCAGGGCCAGGCACGGTGGCTCACGCCTGTAATCCCAGCACTTTTGGAGGCCAAGGAGGGCGGATCACCTGAGGTCAGGAGTTCGAGACCAGCCTGGCCAACATAGTGAAACTCCGTCTGTACCAAAAATACAAAAATTAGCTGGGTATGGTGGCAGGTGCCTGTAATTCCAGCTACTCAGGAGGCTGAGGTAGGAGAATTGCTTGAATCCGGGAGGCAGAGATTGCAGTGAGCTGAGATCGTGCCACTGCACTCCTGCCTGGGCAACAAGACCGAAACTCTGTCTCAAAAAAAAAAAAAAACAACGGCATTTTAGGCAGAGAAACCATAAGAGTTAGAGTATTTAGGAAGCTATGCAAAGTTTAACACAGTTGAATTATGGAGTGCAGACAAGGGCAGAGATTAGTAAGATCCATGTGGGGATACTTCCCTCCCCAACTCTCAGTCCATATAGTTTAGGTAGGATTGATACCCCTTCCCCTTTCTATAAATAGGAATTCAAGGCCTAGAAAATGAAAGTACTCCATCCTTTTGGCCAGTGATTGGTTCAAGGATGAACAAGTGCTTCAAGGTAGGCTCAAAAAAGACAGATTCAAGACTTTTGCTAGAACTATTAGAAAAGAGGAACTCTCTTTCCAAGAGTTGCTAAGGCTACTAGTGGAGATCTTTGTCACTTTATAGGGAGAACCTATTTGAAAGTAAAATCAATTTTTTAAAAGAGCTGGGACATGGAAAGAGACAGATGCCTCCTGATATTGTGTGAACACCTGGATCCAGCCAGGCTTGAAACTGGTGGACTTCTAGACTTCATAATACAAGCTAAACCAATATATTCCTTTTTCAGTTTTAATCAATTTGAGTTTCCGTAACCTCCAACTCAAAAAGCCCTGACAATACAAACTGTATCCCCAGCCAAGAAGTTTATCATATAGACAATGAGAAACAAATATTTTGAAGTAGGATAATGAAAACATCAGATTGATTTTCTGGAAGATAACTGCAATGAAAATATGAATGGACTGAATTTCAACCTGTTTATTTCACAGATGAATAAATGAGGCTCAGAAGGGATAAGTGGCACACCCACAATAACAGAGTAGACTTCAAAACATACTTAAGAAAAAAGAAATATGGTGTTTACTAAGCACCTTCTTTGTATAAAGGACAGTGCCAAATGTGGCAGAGGAGATAAACAAGGAATTCACAGTCTAATCACAGGGTAAACACCTCAAATGCAAGGTAGGGCCAAGTCCAGTCAGTGACATAAAAGACGAACTACTCGGCTGGACTCAGTGGCTCACGCCTGTGATCCCAACACTTTGGGAGGCCAAGGCAGGTGGATCACGAGGTCAGGAGATGCAGACCATCCTGGCTAACACAGTGAAACCCCGTCTCCACTAAAAATACAAAAAATTAGCCGGGCGTTGTGGCATGTGCCTGTAGTCCCAGCTACTCAGGAGGCTGAGGCAGGAATATCTCTTGAATCTGGGAGGCAGAGGTTGCAGCAAGCCGAGATTGCGCCACTGCACTACAGCCTGGGCAACAGAGTAAGACTCTGCCTCAGGAAAAAAAAAAAAAAAAGACGTACTACTCGGTTCGAGCAGAAAGAGATTGCATTCAGCTAGGCATGGTGGCTCAGGCCTGTAATCCCAGCACTTTGGGAGGCTGAGGTGGGCAGATCACTTGAGGTCAGGAGTTCGAGCCCAGCCTGGCCAACATGGTGAAACCCCGTCTCTACTAAAATAAAAAAGTTAACTGGGTGTAGTGGTATGTGCCTATAATCCCAGCTACTTGGGAGTCTGAGGAAGAAGAATCACTTGAACCCAGGAGGCAGAGGTTGCAGTGAGCCAAGTTTGTACCACTGCACTCTAGCCTAGGCAACAGAGCGGGACTTCATCTCAAAAATAAAATAAATAAAAAAGAAAAAGATTGTATCCAACTGAAGATCAAGAAGGGCTCCAGAAAGGAGGAATCTGAGAAGAGCCTTCCAAAATTAGGACAGTTTCAACAGTGGAGATAAGAGGGAAGAGCAGTCTACAGGATAAACAAAGTCACAGAAGCAGTGAAAGAAACAGAAACAATAATTCCATATTTCAGTTTTGGCTCCAGCACAGAGTATGACTAGAGGAAAAGTAGAGATTAGGACAATTATGTGTGAGAGAAGATCTTACATATTAAGGATAATCTGCATTTAATAGGCAGTGAATTTCCTTGAAAGACTTCTGTGCAAAACCCATGAGGTGGTCAGAGCTACACTTTGGGCAGATTAACCTGGCAACACTATGTCAGCAATGAAAGCAGCAGAGGATACTGTTTCCTCAAGGATCATTCTTTTCAACCTTTATTTAACCTACTGCTGACCATCTGCTCCTCCTTGAAGCCTTCTTGTGCTTCTACCATATAACACCATCCTCGCCTGGCCCCCAAGTTCTATCTATCCGCTTCCCCTCTTCTCTCTTTTTTTTTTTCTTTTTTGAAATGGAGTTTCGCTCTTGTTGCCCAGGCTGGAGTGCAATGGCGCCATCTCGGCTCACCACAACCTCTGCCTTCCGGGTTCAAGCGATTCTCCTGCCTCAGCCTCTCGAGTAGCTGGAATTACAGGCATGCGCCACCATGCCTGGCTAATTTTGTATTTTTAGTAGAGACAGGGTTTCTCCATATTGGTCAGACAGGTCTCGAGATCCCGACCTCAGGTGATCCACCCGCCTCAGCCTCCCAGAGTGCTGGGATTACAGGCGTGAGCCATCGCGCCTAGCCTCCCTCTTCTCTTTCTGCCAGGGTCTCATTCTTGTAGTTCCATTTTTTACTCTATGCAGATGCTCCCAAATCTCTCTCATGCTACCAGCTCTCTTTCCTTAGCTCCAGATGTACACTTCACTTGATATTCTCCTGGCAATCTTAACTCAAATGCTTAAAACAGAAACTGCCATCACCTTCTACAAACATTCTCTTTTTCCTGTTTAATGCATTATTCTATATTCTACTCTCTCAGACTCCAGGCCTTACTCATCTCTGATTCTTCACCCCCTCCCTTCTCCTTCACATCCAGACAGTCACCATGTGCTTATAGTTTCTGCTGCTTGAGGGTGATGCCCTCATTCTACACCCCTTGCCACTTCCTTCGTCCAGGCTATCATTTATGCCAAGACTAATAGCACAGACTTCTAGAAGGCTTCTCTCACACTCTTAAGTCATCCCCATATCTGCTGGGGGAGGAAGCACTCAAAAAACCTGGCTGCGATTTTCTCTGGTATTCCAAAGCACCTCGCACAAGGAGAACAGTCCCAACTCCCAAGGGTGGCATCCAAAGTGCTCCTACAATTTGGCTCCCACTTGCCTTTCCAAACTGATCCCATGCTACTCCTGATTTTCTCATCATTTCCTGCACAGAGTCCATTTTTTGCTGTACCTTTGTTCACAATCACCACCACCCTTTCCCCATTTCCACAAGATTAAAGCAATCTAGGTCCATGCCAAATGCCATCATTTCCTTGAAGCCTTCCCTCATTCTTTTATTGAATACATTGTTTGTATCTGTTATAGCACATATAAAATTCTACTTTATATATTTGCACAAATGTCTATAACTTCATAGACTGTAAGCTACTTGAAGGTAGTAAAGTATAGTAGGCAATGGCTGGGCTTTAGAGTCAGGCTGGATTGAAATCCTGTCTTACTATATGTGATCTATGGGCAAGTTACTAAACTTCTTTAAGCCTCAGTTTCCTCATCTGTAAAATGGGGATAATAATAGCATTTACACATATATTAGTATCATGAGGATTAAATGAGGTAAATAATGTATGTTAAGTGCTAACTGGCATATCATGTATTAAATGGTAACTACTATTTTTACCACCATCATTGTTGTTAAGAGGAAAATAGCTTTTTCAGCTCTGTATCTTCTACATGGTCTCAATTACAGAAATCTCAGTAACAGTTTATTGAATGACCAATTTTGGACCACAAAATTCCATTCATTAAACATCCCTGAGATTTCCCTAAACTGAAACAGTCTCTTTTTTTCTCTGTTTACCTAATATCCTCCCCTCTGCCCGCTACCAAACTTACCTGGTGCAAAATGGTATATCGCTCACGAAACAGCTCTGCTTTATCTCTTGCTGTTCCAAATAAATTTGGTGCAGGGTGGTTGGTCATTAACAGCCTAGAAAAAAAGAATGCCTATTTTTGACTATCATAATAATACACAAAGGTGAGCCAAAAGTGAAGCAAGAGACTATATACCTTCTGGAAAAAAAAGTACATTTGAAATTAATTTAAAATCAGTGGATGGCATACTTACGGAAGAAATTTTTTTCTTTCTGAATTGTACACAAAGCGTGGAATATCAAATGCTCCTATGATATTGAAAACGTGCTCTCTGAAAAACATCCCACAAAACACAGACCTGATTTACTAAAACGTAAGTACTCTAGGTGAACATGATAATTTGCATTGTAAGTCTTTGTAATAACACACTTTTCACATTTTCTCAGGCCAGGCACACAATTTCTTTCTCTTTTTCTTTCTTTCTTTTTTTTTTTTTTAAGACAGAGTTTCACTATTGTTACCCAGGCTAGAGTGCAATGGCGTGATATCGGCTCACTGCAACCTCTGCCTCCCGGGTTCAAGTGATTCTCCTGCCTCAGTCTCCCAAGTAGCTGGGATCACAGGCATGCAGTAGCTGGGATCACAGGCATGCACCACCATGTCCAGCTAATTTTGTATTTTTAGTAGAGACGCGGTTTCTCCATGTTGGTCAGGCTGGTCTCGAACTCCTGACCTCAGGAGATCCACTCACCTCGGCCTCCCAAAGTGCTGGGATTACAGATGTGAGCCACCATGCCTGGCCCACAATTTCTTATAGTGTCAAAAATACTATGGGGGTAAAATGTTTAGCTTGTGCATTTTCATCTCAAGGGACAAGAAAGCATTGCCAAAACTCACAAGAAAAAAAAATTAATCAAGTTAACTTCCAGTTAAGAATTTCATCTGTTGAAAAAGAACAATTATATAAACAATAGTCACATCTTAAAGAAATCTCTACTTTTACGAGCTACAGTGTTTTTGTTTTTGTTTTTGTTTTGAGACGGAGTTTCGTTCTTGTTGCCCAGGCTGGAGTACAATGGCTCGATCTTGGCTCATCACAACCTCCGCCTCCAGGGTTCAAGAGATTCTGCTGCCTCAGCCTCCTGAGTAGGTGGGATTACAGGCATGCACCACCACGCCCGGCTAATTTTGTATTTCTAACAAAGGCCGGGTTTCTTCATGTTGGTCAGGCTGGTCACTAACTCTCAACCTCAGGTGATCCGCCTGCCTCAGCCTCCCAAAGTGCTGGATTATAGGCATGAGCCACCGTGCCCGGCCATGAGCTACAGTATTATTAAAGGATATGATTAAGTTCCAACAATTTTTATTTTTTTGTTTTTGTTTTTGTTTTGTTTTTTGAGACAGTCTCACTCTGATGCCCAGGCTGGGGTGTGATCTTGGCTCACTGCAACCTCTTTGTCCTGGCCTCAAGCAATTCTCCCGCCTCTCAAGTAGCTGGGATTACAGGCATGTGCCACCACACCCAGCTAATTTTTGTATTTTTAGTAGAGAAAGAGTTTTGCCATAGTGGCCAGGCTGGTCTCAAACTCCTAACCTCAAGTGATCCGCCTGCCTCAGCCTCCCAAAGTGCTGGAATTACAGTCATGAGCCACCATGCCCAACCCCAACAATTTTAAAAATCTAAAATGTTTTTTTGTTTGTTGTTTGCTTGTTTGTCTGAGATGTAGTCTACTTCTGTCACCCAGGCTGGAGTGCAGTGGTACAATCTCGGCTCACTGCAACCTCTGCCTCCCGGGTTCAAGCGATTCTCCTGCCTCAGCCTCCCAAGTAGCTGGGATTACAGGTTCCCTCCACCACGCCCAGCTAATTTTTGTATTTTTAGTAGAGATGAGATTTCACTGTGTTGGCCAGGCTGGTCTTAAACTCCTGACCTCATGATCTGCTTGCTTTGGCCTCCCAAAGTGCTAGGATTACAGGCGTGAGCCACCGCATCCTGCCAAATCTAAAATGTTATGTAAAAGTGTCCCAGGAAAAGTTATACAATGGAAAAAGAACCCCCCCCCCAATTCTGGCCATATCTTTCAGACTTATACAATATGTATATAGTGTTAGAGATGGAAAACCAAAAAAAAATATTTAATTTCAGACACTTTTAATAATACAACCATGTTTAAAAGAAGTTAAAAATTTCCACAGCACTATTGTATAAATATCCCAACCTAAAAATCTTTCCTAAAATTATATGTTTATCTCCCAAATTGAAAATGATCAAAAATGTTAATGCTACCCTAGAGGTAACAGGTATGGAGTAGCTGAGAATCAGTGAACTTGAGGAAACTCTAGACTCCAGACACTGCTCCACTATTTTCTGGTGGATCAGTCTGAGTAAGTTATTGAACTTCTCATGCCTTCTCTTCATCTATGAGAACAAGAGCCTCTATTGTGGTATGATATAATGATTCTGACAACTGAAGGTACAAAAATCCTTTACCGTTCAGTCCCCACTGGACCTCCATGTGGGTTGGCTGTAACATAAACAGCCTGACAGAAATAGCCGAGCCAGGTCAGTGAGGAGTGCGGGCTGGCTGACCCTGGCACTGCACACTGAGGCCAGGGATAGGCCTAAGGTTCGCACCTCCTCTGAAACTGTGCCCTGCCTTTGAGGCCTGGCAGGTGTGGGAGCAGGGGCTGCCAAAGGTGGGCTGGGGTTGGAGGAAGCAGCCTGGTAGTTGCTATGTGTCCTGAGGCTTTAAGGCACCTGACCCCATCCTTGTTAGAACTGGCGTCACTAGGACCTGTTTACTCTTGATGAGAATCATGATCCCTGGGCACGTAGTGCATTTTCTGGAAGAGCTCACTCACCCTGGACCAGCCCTTTGGCAGCCTCAGACAGTCCTTGAGGAGGATGACTGAGACATCATGGGCCACACACTGTGTGCCTGCTCTTAGGGAAATGTCATCATTGACAATAGCTATTTCTTCATCCAGAACCTGGGGGAGGGTGGGTTCAGCTCTGTGGACCTAGTGGAGAGGTTACAGGATGGAGACTTCTACGCCCTGAAGTGAATCCTGCGTCACAAGCAGCAGGACCAGGAGGAGGCCCAGCCAAGAAGCGAACATGCATCGCCTCTTCAATCCTTTACCTCACGGCTTACTGTCTGAGGGAGCAGGGTGCTGAGCATGAGGCCTGGCTGCTGCTTCCGTTCTTTAAGAGAGGTATACTGTGGAATGGAGAGAAAGGCCGAAGGACGATGGCAACTTCCTCACTTATGATCAAATCTTTCAGCTGCTGCTGGGTATCTACAGCAGCCATGAGGCCATTCATGCCAAGGGTTAGGCCCACAGGGACCTGAAGCCCACCAGTATCTTTCTTGGAGATGAGGGGCAGCCAGTTTTAATAGACTTGGATGCCATGAATCAAGCATGCCTCGAGTGAAGGTCTCCCACCAGGCCCTGACCCTGCAGGACTAGGCGACCCAGTGGACCATCTCCTACTGAGCCCTAGAGCTCTTCCCTGAGCAGTCACTGTGTCATTGATGAATAGACTGGTGTCTGGTCTCTGGGCTGTGTGATACATGCCACAATGTTTGAGGAAGGCCCTTATGAAATGGTGTTCAGGAAACGTGACAGTGTGGCCCTTGCTGTGCAGAACCAACACAGCATCCCACAAAGCCCCATGCATTCTTCAGGAGTGTGGCAGCTCCCGGCCCCAGTGATCACTGTGGACCTGCTGCAGCAGCCTCACAATGCTTGCCTCCTCAATCAGCTGGAGGTACTGCAGCCCCCAGCTCCTGGCCAGCACACTACCCAAATCTGAACAAAGCAGTGGCCATGTTGAGGAGGTAGCCCCTTGTGCCTTGGAAAGAGGCTCCCATCCCTCACTGGACTCTCTACCCATTCTTTCTTTTTTTTTCTTTTTCTTTTTCGTCTGTCATCCAGGCTGGAGCAGAGTGGCACGATCTTGGCTCACTGCAATCTCCGCCTCCCGGGTTCAAGTGATTCTCCTGCCTCAGCTTCTCAAATAGCTGAGACTACAGGCATACACCACCATGCCCAGCTAATTTTTGTATTTTTTAGTAGAGATGCGGTTTCACTGTATGTTGGCCAGGCTGGTCTCGAACTCCTGACCTCAGGTGATCTGCCCACCTCAGCCTCCCAAAGTGCTGGGATTACAAGCATGAGCCACTGCGCCCAGCCTGATTTTCTGCTTTCTTACCCCCAAGAGCAACACCTGGACAAGGGGCTTTACTGAGTGGGGGTGAGACAGGGGTTGGGAAAAGGAAAACTGATGGGATATGGTACATGGCTCTGTGCAGGACTGTGGAGCTCATATTATTATGTTCTGCCTCCAAATCTGGGAGCAGGAGAATGTATAAACAGAAGAATAAAGTGAATGCAGATTGATGTGGGGGAAAGTAAGTAAATAAATAAATAACAGGTAACTTTAGGGTAAACAATGAGTAATGTCTATTTTAGGATAATAATCCTTAAACTTTAATACAATCGTTTTGAATTGCTATTGATTGCTTTAGGAACATTCATTATACTCTAGTATTTATTTTATTTTATTTTTTGAGACAGGGTCTCACTCTGTCACCCAGACTGGACTGTAGTGGCATGATCTCAGCTCACTGCAACCTCCACCTCCCAGGCTCAAGTGATTCTCCTGTCTCAGCCTCCCAAGTACCTGGGATTACAGGTGCATCCCACTACCGCCCGGCTAATTTTTGTATTTTTAGTAGAGATGGGGTTTCACCATGTTGGCCAGGCTGGTCTTGAACTCCTGACCTCAAGTGATCCAACCACCTTGGCCTCCCAAAGTGCTGGGATTATAGGCGTGAGCCACTGTGCCTGGTCACACTAGTATTTTAAATGAGTTTGCAAGGGTAAAATTAAAAATCCTCAATTTCTGTATTTATTCATTTATTTATTTATTTTTTTAGCAGTTATAAGTTCTGACACGGAGAAGATTACAACTTCTGACTAAAATAAAGATAATGACTCCTTTCAATCACCTCCATTACCCCAAATAGGAAAGAAGTGGCAATGTTAAAACTGTCTCTCAGCCCATTTTCCCCAGTGTTTTCCATGGCAATTCATAATAAAATGCCATGAATTTGGATAGAAGTATCATATCAAGAGGGATATTCACAGAAATAAAACCCAGAAGAATTACTGCCATATAAATTCTTAAACCTAAAAACATGAGATAGTAGAGTCACAAAACTGAGGTCCTACTCTCATTTGCCATTCACCATGTGACCAAGTAAAGTTGCTGAACTTCTCTGGGCATGGTACTTTCCTAAGAGCAAAGTAAATTATACTTCTGAATATTCATTTCAATTCAACTCATTTGTAGCATACAGAATAAAAAGTCAGATCCACTGGCTGGGTAGGCAGCAAAAGTTAGTAATGAATGGTACAGCAACATTGTAACTTCAAATCCTAGGAGAAACCAGTAAAGATGAATCATTTAATAATGAGGTTTGCAAAGAAAGCCATTATTTAAAAAGACATACAGAAATAACAACAGCAACCACTGTGGAAATGTTGATCACTAATAATTTTCCAAGACAATAATTAAAACTAAGTGCTCAATAACACCTCCAATGAGGAAAAAAGTTAACTGTACCCACATACATAGTTTCATCAACAGACTGACTGCATTCCTGGACTGCTGCTTCCACCACAGATCGTTCAATCATGCTTGATGACACTGAAAAGAGAATTGCAGAGTCAAATTTTAAAAACAAAAAAAAAATTAGTTCTTTCCACAGACAGCTCTTTTCCCAAAAATAATTTGCAAATATTAATACTGGGATTCTCATTATACAGTTTTTGGAGGAAAAAAGTGTTAGGTCAGAACAATAACAAAAGCCTTATCTCAAATACCTTAATTTTCCACTCCAGACTCCCAGTCTGGAGTGCGGTAGCATAATCTCAGCTCACTGCAAAGTTTTCCACACTCAAAGTTACAATACCTTAATATATAATCAAATGCCTTAATTTCCTAAACCCTGTTTAGTTATAAGAACATTTCTGAGCCAGGGTCGGTGGCTCATACCTATAATCCTAACACTTTGGGAGGCTGAGGCAGGAGGATGGCTTGAGCCCAGGAGTTTGAGACCAGCCCAGGCAATGTGGTGAAACCCCATCTCTACAAAAAGTACAAAACTTAGCTGGGTGGGTTGGCATACGCCTATAGTCCCAGATACTCAGGAGGCCAAGGTGGGAGGATCACCTGAGCCCAGGGAGGTGGAGGCTGCAGTGAGCTGTGATCATGCCACTGGCATGATCTCAAAAAAAAAAAAAATTCCCTAAGCTCCCACTTTTAATAAGGTTACATTAGTATAACTTTATCGTCGTAACTGCTCAGTTTCAATGAGCATGATAGTAACAATAACAACAATAGCAGCTACCACTTATTAAGCACTGAGTAAATGTGGGGCACCATGCTCAGTACTTTATTTACAAGCATTATTTCATTAGGTAGACGTCCTGTAAGTCTGATGTTAAAATGCCCATATCTTATAGATAGGGAAAATACAACTTTAAGAGGTTGAAAATTTTGCCCAAAAACTAGAAGAGATAGAGAGCAACAAAAACCCAGGTCTGATTCCGGAGTGGGCTCTTTTAATCACTTTGATATGCTGTCAAGCAAAATACCATGTGCCATCTTAAATCAATGTACACAGAGACAAGTATCATTTTCTTTTTCTTTTTTTTTTTGAGACGGAGTCTTACTCTGTCACCCAGGCAGGAGTGCAGTGGCGCGATCTTGGCTCATTGCAAGCTCCACCTCCCGGGTTCACGCCATTCTCCTGCCTCAGCCTCCCAAGTAGCTGGGACTACAGGCGCCCGCCAATACACCTGGCTAATTTTTTGTATTTTTAGTAGAGAAGGGGTTTCACCGTGTTAGCCAGGATGGTCTCGATCTCCTGACCTCGTGATCTGCCCGCCTCGGCCTCCCAAAGTGCTGGGATTACAGGCGTGAGACAAGTATCATTTTCTAAATTTTCAAATGTAAAGGAATTTTCAAGCAAAGGTATATGTAAAATTCTGCCTTTAGGAATGAAAATGAGATATAATAACCATTTATCCTATATCACGGAGTATGTTTCTTCCTATATAATTGAAGAGACTAGCATCTATATAACATTAAGAGTGAACTCAGCACTTCTCAGCCTTTTGGCTACCAAGATCAAGTGGAGAGTGAGCCATACCCGCTTCTATCCTTAGGGTGCTATAAATATCAGACTTTTTTTCCGAGGGCAAGAGCATTTCTTCTTTCCATGCCCATGCTTGTGGTATTAAGTATTTAACAAAAAGGTCCCTGAATCCCTATGGCAGTGTGGCAGTGGCAGGAGGAAACATGCTGATACAGTTTTACTGACAGGTTGGATAGAGAGGTCTCTCAGAAAACTCCCCCAGGTATACGGCTGAAATGGACTGCAAATTATAAAACAGTGGAACAGAGGTTTAGTTCATGTATTGGTGGTCCCATTCTAGCTTCTTTGGGCATGTTTCAACAGATGTGAATTTCCAAAAAAGGACACGAAGAAGGAGTGGAGGGGCCGGGCGTGGTGGCTCACGCCTGTAATCCCAGCACTCTGGGGGGCCAAGGTGGGTGGATTACCTGAGGTCAGGAGTTCAAGACCAGCCTGACCAATATGGTGAAACCTTGTCTCTACTAAAAATATAAAAATTAGACGGGTGTGGTGGCGTGCACCTGTAGTCCCAGCTATTTAGGAGGCTGGGCCAGGAAAATCACTTGAACCCAGGAGGCAGAGGTTGTAGTGAACCGAGATCGTGCCACTGCACTCCAGCCTAGGTGACAGAGTGAAACTGTCCCCCTCTTACTAAAATAAAAAAAAAAAAAAAGGAGAAGAAGGAAGCACTGTGTAGAAAGGAAATGCCTTGAAGGAATTCCCAAACCTCTACCTTCCTGGGTCACCTTATGTTTCATAACTTTGGTATACTCAAGAAAAAAACGACCATCTTTTATAGAATGTGCTTTTCTTGAAATCCACTTATTCGTTTTTTTTAGACGGAATCTCATTCTGTCACCCAGTCTGGAGTGCGGTGGCATAATCTCAGCTCACTGCAACCTCTGCCTCCCAGGTTCCAGCGATTCTCCTGCCTCAGCCTCCCAAGGAGCTGGGATTATAGGCACCTGCCACCGTGTCTGGCTAATTTTTGTATTTTCAGTAGAGACAGGGTTTGCCATGTTGGCCAGGCTGATCTTGAACTCCTGACCTCAGGTATTCCCACCAGCCTCGGTCTCCCAAAGTGCTGGGATTACAGGTGTGAGCCACCATGTCTGGCCCCACTTATTCTTATCACAAGCATTATATAATTTTGTACAAATGTCTGTTTTCGCCGGGCACGGTGGCTCACACCTGTAATCCCAGCACTTTGGGAGGCTGAGGCGGGAGATCACCTGAAGTCAGCAGTTCGAGACCAGCCTGGTCAACATGGTGAAACCTCGTCTCTCCTAAAAATACAAAAATTAGCCAGGTGTATTGGTGCACACCTGTAATCCCAGCTACTCGGAAGGCTGAGGCAGGAGAATTGTTTGAACCCAGGAGACAGAGGTTACAGTGAGCCGAAATTGCACCACTGCACTCCAGCCTGGGTGACAGTGCAAGACTCCTCGGAAAAAAAAAAAAAGTCTATTTTCTATAGATTGCTTTCAGTAAAATGCTTTCCAACTCTGTTTAGTATATTCATTATCAGTGCATTAGTAGAATTGCTTTTTATTGAAAAGTTACTATCTCCGCCCTTTAACTTAGACTTACAAAATTAAGTTAAAATGACTAGCCATTCTATTTAAAAAAAAAAAATCCCTGAAGAAATTAAGAAGAGATGGCAGCTCTGCTTACTTTAGTCTTTTTTCCTCCCAAACATTTAGGAGTACCTCTCTTAAATATGACATGGTAATAGCCACTAGGAGAGAAAAAGTGACTGTAAAGGACCAGATCAAAATCAGAAGCCAAGTGCAGGAAACACGGTGGTGACACCTCCACTGGGGGAGAGGAACTATAAAAGGGCCCTTGGGGAATATCTTGAGGTTCCAACTAAATTAAAGGTTTGGATGTCTTCAACAGTTAAAATAAAAAAGAAGGCCGGGCATGGTGGCTCCCACCTGTAATCCTAGCACTTTGGGAGGCTGAGGCGGGTGGACTGCGTGAGCCCAGGAGTTCGAGACCAGGCTGAACAACACAGTGAAATCCCGTCTCTACTAAAATACAAAAAATTAGCCCAACATGGAGGTGTGGCCTGTAATCCCACCTAATCAGGAGGCTGAGACAGGAGAATTGCTTGAACCTGGGAGGTAGGGGTTGCAGTGAGTCGAGATAGCGCCGTTGCACTCCAGCCTGGGCAACAGAGCAAGATTCCGTCCCAAAAAAGAAAGAAAAAAAAATTAAAATAAACTAAAGGTATTACCCCTTGGGAAGAAATGCTACCATGCATACATCTTATAACACTGGGACATCTTAATACTGAAGCCTCAACTTCACTTTAAATCTATACATCTAACTGAAGATGCAGAACTATATTAACAATTTAGGAGTTATCAGAAAATATTACTTACAGGGTTGCTTTTCAACTGCATCAATTATCTTTTCCAGTTTATCATCAAGCTCTAATTCACTGATAGACTGCAGAGCTTCTGTGAGGTACTTAATAGCTTCACTAAGAAAAGGAAAGAAAAAATGAGGCAGGTCATTAGTAATTAAAGGCTAAAAGTTTTCTGCCAAAAAGCGGCAAACACTCATCAACCTGGCACTGAAAGGAAGAACACTAACTTCTCTCTTCAAATAGCACTCATCTTTCCTGTGCTTTCTGAACAAAATCATCCTCCTATATCTTGCTAACATAAAGCCTCAAATCACATCGTTCCTCTAAAAAGCCTTCCTAGACCAGCTCTACCTGCTGCAATCTTCCCTTTCTTCTGAAATTGTTAAAAATCATATTTACATATACCTTACATCTGATATATCACATTAGCCTTGTACTACTTACTACCCTACATTTAAGGCAAGAGTCCATCTGTTTCAATGTCAAGCACCATATCCTGAACATAACAGACACTCATATATTTAATTTGATAATGCACTTGTTCAAAGTAAATTCCAGTAATCACTGTTTTCAATTATAAAATAAGACAAAAAAATAGGCTTGGCCGTGTGCCGTGGCTCACGCCTGTAATCCCCGCACTTTGGGAGGCCAAGGCGGGCAGATCACGAGGTCAGGAGATGGAGACCATCCTGGCTAACACACGATGAAACCCCATCTCTACTAAAAATACAAAAAAATTAGCCGGGCATGGTGGCAGGCACCTGTAGTCCCAGACACTCAGGAGGCTGAGGCAGGAGAATGCCGTGAATCCGGGAGGCGGAGCTTGCAGTGAGCCGAGATCGTGCCACTGCACTCCAGCCTGGGCGACAGAGCGAGACTCCATCTCAAAAAAAGAAAAAGGCTTAAAAAAACTATGACATCTGAATATAATCATGGAAACAACACTCATTAAAATCACATGAATTTGTGTTATATGAAAAGAGAGGTTGGCACTCCCTTTGACAAAGATGGAAGAGGCCCTCGGGCCTGACAATACGCATATTGTTAAGGCACTGCCACCTGCTTCATGGATGAGTCTGATCATCATTAAAAAAAAAAAAAAAAAAAAATCACAGCTGGGCGTGTAGTGGCTCACGCCTGTAATCCTAGCACTTTGGGAGGCCGAGGTGGGCAGATCACAAGGTTAGGATATCGAGACCATCCTGGCTAACACGGTGAAACCCCATCTCTACTAAAAATACAAAAACAAAATTAGCTGGGCGTGGTGGCAGGTGCCTGTAGTCCCAGCTACTCGGAGGCTGAGGTGAGAGAATGGCGTGAACCCGAGAGGCGGAGCTTACAGTGAGCAGAGATCGCGCCACTGCACTCCAACCTGGGCGACAGAGAGAGGCTCCGTCTCAAAAAATAAATAAATAAATAAAATAAAATAAAATCACATTAATTCCTGACTTAAATCCCAATAATGATCAGAATGAACAGTATTAACTAGTTACATGCCATTACATGCCATTCTGTATTTGCAGCACACAACTTTACACCTCACATCAATATTATTGCTGATTACCGTATTAAACAATTAGCTAATTACATGCCATTCTGTATTTGTAGCACACAACTTAACATTTCACATATTATTGTTATAGTCATCACACTAATTGTTCTATATGTTGGGTTGCTTATTAGTTGTTTTGTGTGTAGGTGTTGCATCTCTCCAATTTATTATAGATAACTGAGAACTGAGTTATTATAGATAACTTTAAAACTGTAACTTAGAAGTCTGTGCCATCCTTCCACAGGGTTCTAAATACACTTGAAAGTGGTCCATAAATATTTGACCACTGAGTCCCTAAAATCATATACATTTTGGGTACGTCTTGGGACAGTTCTTAGCACAGACCAAAACCTGCAAAGCCATACAGGATGTTGCCCCTGCCAAATCCCATTAAGCTCATACCATGTCCCTGGCCTTCCTGGCACTCTCCTGCTTCGGGGTCTTTACATGGCCATTTTCTCCCACTTTTCTCTCCACCTAGTCAGGTCCTGTTCTTTTTTTTTTTTCTTTCTTTCTTTTTTGAGATAGAGTCTTGCTCTCTCGCTCAGGCTGAAGTGCAGTGGCGCAATCTCGGCTCACTGCAACCTCCACCTCCCGGGTTCAAGCTATTCTCCTGCCTCAGCCTCCTGAGTAGCTGAGATTACAGGCGCGCAACACCAGGCCCGGCTAATTTTTGTATTTTTAGTAGAGATGGGGTTTCACTTTGTTGTCCAGGTTGGTCTCGAATTCCTGACCTCGTGATCCGCCCGCCTTAGCCTCCCAAAGTGCTGGGATTACAGGCATGAACCACCACACCTGGCCAAGTCCTGCTCATTCTTTAACAGTCAGCCCAAACCACTTCTGAAGTGAAGTTTTTCCCTGACTCTACAGCAGTTTATACACGTTATTATACACTCTCATAGCACTTCTTTCCTGAAATCCCTTTCACAATTGAGATTAAATAGCGGTGAAATAGTCATTTAATATCCATGGTAGACAGACTTCTAAGATGGCCCCCAATAATCCATTACTCCTAGTAGTTACACCTATGTAATCCCCTGCCCTTAAGTGTGGGCTGGACCTAGTAACTTGTTTCTAAAAATAGAATATAGCAAAAGGGATAGAAAAACTTACTGTATTGTAATTTTGAAAGTAAAATTTAAAAGTGAAAAGAAAAAATTTAAAAATAACAAGATGTCACTTCCTTGATTAGGTTACTTCAGAGTTACTAGCGGACTCTCTCTCTTGATGAAGCCATGTCGGGGGCACACATGGCAAGCGACTGAGGGTAGCCTCCAGCCAACAGCCTGCAAGGCAATCAGGAACTGAATCCTGCCAACAACTGAATGAGCTTGAAGCGAATGCTGCCTGGTCAACATTTGAGATGATCCATCTTGACTGCAACCTTGTGAAAAGACCCTGAAGTTGACGACCCAACGAAGTCTCACCTGAATTCCTAACCCACAGAAAATGTGAGATAATAAATGTGTACTGTTTTAGCCTCTAAGTTGTGGGGTAATCTGTCATGCAGCAATAGAATACACTATCTGCCCCCTACAAAGCTCTTGCTCTCTCTTGCACCCCCTTGCCCTAGCACAGTGCTTTGCAGCTAACAGATTTAAGTATACTTATGACTGAAATAATTAATGAACAAAAGCTTAATATTAGGTCAAATTCTAAGTGAAAAGAAAGTTAATTCATCAGTTGCTCATGCTTTCAAAATGTCAAGGACCAATTGAACAAAACTCATTATTTTCCCCCAAGGTATATCCATTACTAACCCAAAGTACAGTTAAAAGTCCCATAAAACTCACAAAAACCAACAAAAAATCTACACACACGAGAGCAATAAAAACAGATACAATGAGGTATATCCAGTTCAGCAGGTATTTAAATATGTATAAAATATTGTGTTCTAGGCCAGGCACGGTGGTTCACACCTGTAATTCCAGCATTCTGGGAGGCCACAGCGGGAGGATTACTTGAGCCCAGGAGTTCAAGACCAGGCTAGGCAACATAGCCAGACCCCGTCTCTACAAAAAATACAACAAAAAATTAGCCAGGTATGGTGGCCCACGCCTGTAGTCCCAGCTACTTGAGCCCAGGAGGTTGAGGCTGCAGTAAGTCAAGTTCGCATCACTGCCCTCCAGCTTGGGCGACAGTGAGACCATGTCTCAAAAAAAAAAAAAAAAAAAATACACACACACACAGAACTCTAAAACACGTAACAGATTTAATGAAAAAAATCTTGGAAAGGTTAATATGTTCTGTAGGTCCTCAGAAACACAGATATGTCCAGGAAACCTGACTTTCACATAAATTGGCAACTGCAGACGTGCGAGCGGGCTGTTTTCGGTCTCTCATCTGATGTCTCAGCAACCTTCCCCGGAGCCTGCGAGCTGACCGGGTCACCAACGCTGATAACCGGCTGCCATAGACAGGTTGCCGCTTCTCGGGCTCAGTTTGACACGTGAAAAGAGCCCGGGCCCGCCTAGAAGAAACATTAAACTCCTTGCACGGGTCGGTGAAACCAAAGAAGGCACGGCAGCCTCAAGATCTTAGAACTTTTTTTTTTTTAATGGAGTTTCTCTCTGTCGCCAGGATGGAGTGCAGTCGCGCGATATCGGCTCACCGCAACCTCCTCCTCCTGGGTTCAAGCGATTCTCCTGCCTCAGCCTCCCGAGTAACTGGGACTACAAGCGCGCGCCACCACGCCCAGCTAATTTTTGTATTTTTAGTAGAGACGGGGCTTCACCATGTTGGCCAGGATGGTCTCGATCTCCTGACCTCGTGATCCGCCCGCCTCGACCTCCCAAAGTGGTGGGATTACTGGCGCGAACCACCACGCCCGGCTGCCTCTTAGAACTCTGTCATTTAAGATCAAGCCCCCTCTCCGCGCGCGGGGAGCCGCCGCGGTGCGTCCCGCTGCCACACGAGGCAGCCGGGCCCCAGCTCTTCCCTCTCGCCCCTCAAGCTGCCCAAGCCCACTCACCCCCGGAGTAGCAAGCCCCGCAACTTAAAGGCAGAGAGCGCCCGGCTCCGCAACCGCTCCGGCGCCATATTCGCGATTTGGCGCCACTGCCGCAGCTCCGCCCCTTCCCGGGCGAGCCCCGGCCCAGCTCCGCCCCCGGACCTGTCCCGGGTCGCGCTCGACCCTGTTACGATCCCTGCTTGGTCCCGGCTGCCTGCGCCGCAGCCACTCGCACCTAGCAGTTTGCAACCCCGGACCGAGTAGGCTGAAAGTGGAGATCACCTCGCGCTCCTTTGCTGCCGGGAAATTGAGGGCCAGAGCGTCTTCCCTGGTGTCGGGCTGCGTTGAGCCAGCCACAGCGCTCTCACCGCTGCCCTAGACATTCCACGACTGCGGCCGAGCTTCCCGGACCCAGGATCCCCCTTCTTTGAAGGCCGTGAGAGCTGTTGGGTTCCCTACTTCGCACAAGCTCTGGAAATACTGTGCCTCGACATTTACTGGAAGCTGTTATAAATCTTCATCGCTCCCACCTACCCCATTTTTATTTAACTTGAGGGCTTCGTATGCGCCATGCACTGTCATAAGCACTTTAAATGTATGAATTGATGTGTTGCTCATGACAGCCCAATGAGCTGTGTGCTGTCTTTTCCACAACAGCCTCATTTTACAGATGAGAAAACTGAGACACAAAAATGGTAAAGGACTTGCTCAAGATGAAACGACGAGTTAAGTGGTGGAGTCAGGATCTGAACTCAGGTATTCTGATTCCAAGTGGACTGTCAATCCGCCACACTTTAAAACGCTTGCTCCAATGAGTTGACTAAACCATGAAGTACTTATAAGTAAACACGCGGCCTATAAAACATGAGGATGAGGCCGGGCGCGGTGGCTCACGCCTGTAATCCCAGCACTTTGGGAGGCCGAGATGGGCGGATCACGAGGTCAGGAGATCGAGACCATCCTGGCTAACACGGTGAAACCCCCCTCTCTACTAAAAAATACAAAAAACTAGTCGGGCGAGGTGGCAGGCGCCTATAGTCCCAGCTACTCAGGAGGCTGAGGCAGGAGAATGGCGTGAACCCGGGAGGCAGAGCTTGCAGTGAGCTGAGAAACGGCCACTGCACTCCAGCCTGGGCGACAGACCGAGACTTCGTCTCAAAAAATAAAAATAAAAATAAAAAATAAAAATAAAAATAAAACATGAGGATGATTTCGCAGTACCAATATAAAGTGACCTCCAACGTATACGGTTTTTTTTTCTTTTTTAAAAAAGCGCAGTTTAATGAAGGAAGGGAGACAAAAATATATTAGTTTTTGCATTTTAAAAAAGCTCTGGGCCCGGGCGCAGTGGCTCACATCTGTAATCCCAGAACTTTGGGAGGCCGACGCTGGCAGATCACTTGAGGCCAAGAGTTCGAGAACAGCCGGGACAACATGGTGAAAGCCTGTCTCTACCAAAAAAAGAAAATACAAAAAAATACAAAAATTAGCCAGATGTGGTGGCGCGTGCTTGTAATCCCAGCTCCTGAGAGGCTGAGGCAGGAGAATCTCTTGAGCCTCGGGGGCGGAGGGTGCAGTGAGCCGAGATCATGCCACCACTCCAGCCTGGACAACAAAGCAAGACTCTATCTCAAAAACAAAAAAAGCCGGGCGCAGTGGTTCACGCCTGTAATCCCAGCACTTTGGGAGGCCGAGGTGGGCGGATCATCTGAGGTTGGGAGTTCGAGACCAGCCTGACCAACATGGAGAAACCCCATCTCTACAAAACTACAAAAAAATTAGCCGGGTATGGTGGTGCATGCCTGTAATCCCAGCTACTCGGGAGGCTGAGGCAGGAGAATCGTTTGAACCCGGGAAGCGGAGGTTGCCCTGAGCCAAGATGGCGCCATTGCACTCCAGCCTAGGCAACAAGAGCCAGACTGTCTCAAAACAACAACAACAACAAAACAACTCTGGAAGGTTAAACCAGAGACCACAAAAATGATTAACTATAAAGGGGTGAGGCGATAGGGATGAAAGTGAAAACTTTCTTTACAGTGAGACTTTTAATGCATGTGTATGTCTTACGTATTAAAAAAATGGAAAATAAAAAGGTGAGCTTAAAATTGAATGCATACTAAAACCAATACACCTAATTGCATATTAAATTGGTAACATAACATCACAAGTGATTTTTGAACACAGTTCTCTTTATTTAGTGAAATATTTTTCAAAGACAAAAAGTACAAAGAAATTTTTAATTTTTATGTAAGAAAGGATAGGAGATAGGAATAGAAAGACATACAGTTAATTCTCATTACTGTACCTGTGATAGTTAGATTTTATAAGTAGCCACCAACAAATAATTAGTGAATACTAAACCATTGCTACCAGGGGAAGTACAGAATTAAGTTCCTGTGAGCGTCTGGTGACAATGTTTTCATCAACTGACCAATATATAACCTTGTTTTATGTGTGTTTTTATTTAAAAACATCTTTATATTGTGATTCATTAGCACTGAACTCAGGGCCAACAGCCCTATAACTCATAGCTGAAGGAAGCTTATTTATTACATGTATTTTCTCCATAAGGCACATTACAACCTTCTTGTACCTTCAAATACTAGACAAAACTTTAGCACTGTGCTTGGAGGCAACTTTAAACAGCAAAATCACCAACAAAAATAGCAAAAATGCTGAAAATACAGCACTAAATGTACCAGAAAAGGGACATTTATAGTATGAGAGATGACACGAGAAGGCAGTGTCACTCTGTTTAACCTCATCTGGGAATGTACGTGATAGGCAACTCAAATGTTCTGCTTCTCTATGCATGTCCTCAAAAGACCATGAAAGTTTCCAACATTGATTTGGGTATTACAAATAAATGTTAGTGAATAGGTGAATTTGCGAATAAGGAATGCACAAATAATGGGGATTATCTGCTTACCTCCTAGAAGGATGAACAAGGAATAAATGGTTACCTATGGGCAGGAAAGGAGGGGGAATAGGGACATAAAATGATAAAGCTATTAAGTAAAGTGTTTTAGGAAATGGATATTTGCACAGTCCCAAAATATCATCCTCCGGATAACTGATAATTATACAGGGGAAAATGCACTTTTACAATGGAACATTCAGAGGTTACCACCTTAATCAAGTATCAAACTTAGCAGGAGAATTGCTTGAACCCAGGAGGCAGAGGTTTCAGTGAGCTAAGTTCATTCCACTGCATTCCAGCCTGGGCCACACAGTGAGACTCTGTCTCAAAAACAAAAAACAACAACAAAAACCGGCCATGGGCAGTGGCTCACACCTATAATCCCAGCACTTTGGGAGGCTGAGGTAGGCAGATACCTGAGGTCAGGAGTTCGAGACAAGCCTGGCCAACATGGTGAAACCCCATCTCTATTAAAAATACAAAAACTAGCCGGGCGTGGTGGTAGGCGCCTGTAATCCCAGCTGTTCGGGAGGCTGAGGCAGGAGAATCATTTGAACCTGGGAGGCGTAAGTTACAGTGAGCTGAGATTGTGCCACTGCACTCTGCCCTGGGCGACAGAGCAAGACTCTGTCTCAAAAAAAAAAAAAAGACTAAAAGAACTTAACAACCAAATGCAATAGGTAAGCTTTGATTGGGTCCCAGTTTGGAAGAAAAAGCTATAGTTATAATACAATTCAGGAATTCTGAATATCAAATTATATCAAGAAATAACAGCCAAGCGCGGTGGCTCACGCCTGTAATCCCAGCACTTTGGGAGGCCGAGGCGGGCAGATCACGAGGTCAGGAGATCAAGACCATCCTGGCTAACACGGTGAAACCCCGTCTGGACTGAAAAAAAATACAAAAAATTAGCCGGGCGTGGTAGCGGGCGCCTGTAGTCCCAGCTACTCAGGAGGCTCAGGCAGGAGAATGGCATGAACCTGGGAGGCGGAGCTTGCATGAGCGGAGATGTGACAATGCACTCCAGCCTGGGCAACAGAGCGAGACTCCGTCTCAAAAAACAAACAAACAAACAAAAAAAAACAGTTGATTTTCTTACGTGTAGTAATAATATTGTGGTTATGTAAGTAAACATCCCTGTTTTTAGAAAATGTGTGCTGAAGTGCAACATTATACCTCCCACTCTCAAATAATTCAACAAAATGAAAAAGACAGACACACACATACCAACTAGTATGGTAGTATTAATAATAAAACTAGTATAAAACTAGTGTGGTAGTATTAATAATTATTAACCTGGAGTGGAAGATACACAGGTACTCCTTGAACTATTTTTTCAACTTTTTTTGTTTGCTATCTTTTATATTAAGAAATTGGAGAGAAAATAATCAATTCCAGTTGCCCAGCTTCCTCTCACAATCTGACCTCACAATTCCCATTTTCCCATAAATTTTCTCAATCACAATTCTCTTTCTCTCATAAATTTTCAACTTCTTCTTCTATGGCTCCTTCACCTGGCCAGCTCATAAAGTCCCAATACTTAAATGAACAATTATATGCTGATGACTCCAAAATCCCTATCTCTACCCCTTAGCTCTCTTAGACTTCAAATCCAACTCACTGTGCCTCCAAATGAACTCACCATTGCCCCTGCCCTCCCGGACCACCACCAAAACCTGTTGCTCGTCCCATATTGACTAACCTAGTGAAGGGCTCCACCCACCTTCCACCCAGTGACCAAGCTGGTAAACTAGGCATATTCTTGACTCTTCCCTCTCACAAATCAAAGTTCCCTGAACAACTTCCATTCATCTTTCAGTTCTTAGCTTAGACTTTACTTTCCCTCAGGAACCTTCCCTGTCTCCCCTCAATCTGAGTTAAAGGACCTCTGTAGACCCAAGGTGCCCTGGACTTTTGCTATTTTCACACTTACTGCACGGTATGTTGTCTGTTTGCTGGTCTGTAGACTCCACCAGACTCTACAGTCCAGGAGGACAAGTGCTCCATTTCAAAAATACAATACCAATATTACTAGTAACAATAAAGTGATGGAGTGAGAATTATAATTGACACATAGTTTACACTAAGTAAAATGCACATATCTGTATGCAGTTCAATGCATTTTGATAAATGTATACACCTATGTAACCACCACGTCAATCAAGATACAGTAGAACATTTTCATCACTCCAGAACACTTCCTGTACTCCTTTTTATCAATCCCCTCCGCCTCCCTACTCCCAAATAACCACTTTTCTGCTTTCTATTAGCATAGGTCACTTTTGTCTACCTTGAATTTTTCTTTTTTCGTTTTTTGAGAAGGAATCTTGCTCTGTCGCCCAGACTGGAGTGCAGTGGCGCGATCTCGGCTCACTGCAACCTCCACGTCCTGGGTTCAAGCGATTCTCCTGCCTTTGCCTCCCGAGTAGCTGGGATTACAGGCATGCGCCACCATGCTAATTTTTGCATTTTTAGTAGAAACGGGATTGCCCAGATTGGCCAGGCTGGTCTCAAACTCCTGAGCTCAAGTGATCCGCCCACCCCATCCTCCCAAAGGGGTGAGATTACAGGCGTGAGCCACTGCGCCCGGCACACAACTCCTATTGAGGGAAATCCAGTTACATCTTGTAAAGTTAAATAGGATTCCACATCTAGAACTCCACTCCAAAGATAGGCTTCTACAAATACAAAATAACATATGCATAACGTTATTCATCGCAGCATTATTTATGATAGCCAAAAAACCTGGAAATAACCGATATGTCCATCAATAACCTGTTTGAATAAGCTATGACACCTCCAATCAGTGGAGCGCTATGAAGCTAAAAAAAGGACTGAGGAGACCGCTGTACCCTGATATGGATCGTCAAGTGAAAAGAGCAAGTTAAGGAACACTGTATATACTTCCTTTTGTGTAAGAAAAGGAGCAGATACTCTGTTTATTTGTGTCGTCAAAAATAAACAATAGAAAGTATCATTAAGTTGCACCACACTTAAGTGCCTTCTAATGTGATGCAATATGAAGTATTTTCCAAAAAAAAAATCTGAACTAGAATCTAATAAAGCTTTTAGATACAGCTTTCAGCCTAAAAGAAATATGGGGAAAGCATGCACAAGTTAATGAGAAAGGACATTGAGGAACCAAACCCAGAAGGCTGTAGGAAAATAAGAAAACTAATCCATATAACAAACCAACGGCACGAGAGAGAAGGGAGAGAAGCTATTCTAGAGTAAAAAAGACATAAAGCGTTAACAACGAATTACAATGCTGGACAAACCAACTGTAGAAACGACATTTTGAGATAATCAAGGAATTTGACTACAGACTGACTACTAAATGAGGCTGTACTGCCAAAACACAATTCCAAGAGAGAAGGAATCTGCGCGTGGGAACCCCAGGCCCCTTCCCCACTGCGAGGAGCCAGACGTCCCTCCGGAGCCGCGCCGCCCCTCGCTCTACTCCCCAAGCGAAAGCCGCGGGACGTCGCAGACGCACTGACTCCGCCTTCCACCAATCTCGACCCTCGCCGCGTTCCGTTCGTGCGTGGAGCAGTCGGGACTGGAGGCTAGGCCGCTGGGCGGGCAGGGGCTGTGGCGCGGCCAGCGGCGGGCCAGCGACGGCGCGAATGGCGGACTCACAGCTGTTCTGCGTGGCGGAGGAACGCAGCGGCCACTGCGCCGTGGTGGACGGAAACTTCCTCTACGTGTGGGGGGGCTACGTGGTAAGGGGAAGAGGCGGGACGGGGCGAACTCGCGCCGGGAGACGCTCGGCCTGAGCGGACGCAGCGCCCGCCACACCCGCTCCCGAGGCAGCGGCCCAGGCCTGGCGCGCCCGGCGCCTGCCACCCCCACCCAGCCCCTCCGCTGGCCGCCGCCCCCACAGCCGCGCCAGGGCTTGACGTCGTCCCGCCGTTACTACTTCTGTTAAAGCCTCAGACCCGGCTCCGGGCGTCTTTCCATTCTCCGCCCCTCACCCCCAGCAATTCAGTAACCCGGGTTTGCCCAATGCAAAGGCAGTTACAGCGCGATTAAGTATTATCCTTACATACTGGCGCAGACTTAGAAGGACCCGAGGACGCCGCGCGGTATCATTTTGTATATATTTCCTTATTCTCACGGCGCGATTCGAAATAAAATATTGAAATCACTGAAGCATTTAAATATTTTTTTCTTTCTTTTTTTTTTTTTGTTTTTGAGATGGAGTTTCGCTCTTGTTGCCCAGGGCTGGAGTGTAATGGCACGATCTCAGCTCACCGTAACCTCCGCCACCCCAGGTTCAAGCGATTCTCCTGCCTCAGCCTCTCTAGTAGCTGGGATTACCGGCATGTGCCATCATGCCTGGCTAGTTTTGTATTTTTAGTTGAGACAGGGTTTCCCATGTTGGTCAGGCTGGTCTCGAGCGACCTCAGGTGATCCGCCCTCCTTGGCTTCCCAGAGTACTGGGATTACAAGCGTGAGCCACCGTGCCTGGCCTATATATTTAAATATTTCTAAGCTATTTTTAGTGGTGTTTCTTTACTAATGGCTATGAATATTTTTCTAGTCTCAGAATAGACCCATGTTAGCAATAATATGCTAAGGAATATTATGCTTTAAAATTCTTGTTACAATGGAGGTTTGAACGTATGTGTGTGTTGTGTGTCCATAATCACAGAATTACAGAAGCAAGAATGGTAAAGCTGGAAAACAGGAATACTATATGCCAACCCTCTTAGTTTACAGATTTTTTTTCTTAAGCCATCTGGAAGTTCTACTGATAGTAGAACCTACATCTTCTGTCTCGCTACCATTATATGACAGACCTGTAACATGACTGAATCACATTGAAATGACCAACAGACAGGCATACGTCGAAAGTATGGCGGGTTCTGTTCCAGACCACTACAATAGAGCGCGGTCATACGAATTTTTTTATATCTTAGTGCATATAAAAGTCATGTTTACACTGTAGTGTGTTAAGTATGCAATAGTATTATGTGTTAAAAAAAAATGTACCTGGCCGGGTGTGGTGGCTCACACCCGTAATCCCAGCACTTCGGGAGGCTGAGACGGGTGGATTACCTGAAGTCAGGAGTCCCAGAACAGCCTGGCCAACATGGTGAAACCCCGTCTCTACTAAAAATACAAAAATTAGCCGGACATGGTGGCGGATGCCTGTAATCCCGGCTAGTCGGGAGGCTGAGCCAAGATCGTGCCATTGCACTCCAGCCTGGGCGACAGAGGGAGACTCCGTCTCAGGAAAAAAAAAAAAAACAAAAAACTGTACATACCTAATTTCAAAATTATTGCTAAAAAATGCTAAGAATTATCTGAGCCTTCTGTGAGTTGTATTCTTTTTGCTCATGGAGGGTCTTCCTCCATGTAGATGGCTACTGACTGATTAGGGTGGTTGTTGCTGAAGGTTGTAGTGGCTGTGGCAATTTCTTAAAATAAGACAATGAAGTTTGCCACATTGAGCCTTCCTTTCACAAAATATTTCTCTGTAGCATGCAGTGCAGTTTGATTTTGTGTGTGTTGAGACGGAGTCTCTCCTGCAACCTCCGACTCCCAGGTTCAAGCGATTCTCCTGCCTCAGCCTCCTAAGTAGCTGGGATTACAGGTGTGCACCACCATGCCTGGCTAATTTTTGTATTTTTTACAGGCGTGAGCCACTGTGCCCAGCCATGAAATGTATTTTCTTAAATAATAAGACTTGAAAGTCAAAATGATTCCTTGATCCATGGGCTACAGAATGGATATTGTGTAGCAGGCATGAAAAGATAAATCTTGTAGATCTCCATCAGAGCTCTTGGGTAACTAGGTGCGTTATCAATGAGCAGTGAGTGATATTTTCTGAGCAGTAGTTCTCAACAGTACACTTAAACTACTCAGTAAGCCGTGCTGTTAAAGAGACATGCTGTCATCCAGGCTTTCTTGTTCCGTTGTTACAGCATAGGCAGTGTAGATTTAGCATAATTCTTAAGGGCCCTAGGATTTTCAGAATGATGAACATTGGCTTCAACTTAAAAACAGCTACTACATTAGCCACTAACAAGAGAATTAGCCAGTCCTTTGAAATCGGGCATTGACTTCTCCTCTCTAGCTATGAAAGTCCTAGATGGCATCCTCTTCCAATATAAAGCTGTTTCATCCACATTAAAAATCTATTGTCAGCCAGGCGTGTTGGCTCACGCCTGTAATCCCAGTAACTTTGGGAGGCGGGCGGGCGGATCACGAGGTAGAAGATCGAGACCATCCTGGCTAACACGTGAAACCCCATCTCTACTAAAAATACAAAAAAAAATTAGCTGGGCGTGGTGGCAGCGCTGTAGTCCAGCTACTCTGGAGGCTGAGGCAGGAGAATGGCGAGAACCCAGGAGGCGGAGCTTGCACGAAAGCGGAGAATCCCCACTACTGCCTCCAGTCCTGGGCTACAGAGCAAGACTCCGTCTCAGAAAAAAAAAAAATCTATGTTTAGTGTAGCCACCTTCATCAGGTAACCACACTAGAGACAGGGTTTAGCCAGATCTTTGGATAACTTGCTGCAGCTTCTACATGGAGCCACATGGCTGCTTCACCTACCACAATTTTTTTTTATTTTTTTGGAGACAGAGAAGTTGGCCAGGCTGTGTACAGTGGTATGATCTCGGCTCACTGCAACCTCTGCCTCCCTGGCTCAAGCAATTCTCTTGCCTCAGCCTCCTGAGTAGCTGGGATTACAGGTGCATGACACCACATCTGGCTAATTTTTGTATTTTTAGTAGTAATTTAGTAATTTTTGTATTTTTGCCATATTGGCCAGGCTGATCTCTAACTCCTGTCCTCAGGAGATCTGCCCACCTTGGCCTCCCAAAGTGCTGGGATTACAGGTGTGAGCCACTGTGCCCAGCCTTACCTTGTAATTTTATGTAATGAAGAACAGCTTCCTTCCTAAAAATTCATATTAGCTTCAAAATTCTGCAATTTCTCAATTCTCTCAGCCTTCATAGAATTTAAGAGAGTTAAGACCCTCTTCTGGGTTAGGCTCTGGCCTAAGGGAATGTTGTGGCTGCTTTGATCATGTATCCAGACCACTAAAAGTTTCTCCACATCAGGAATAAGGCTGTTTTGCTTTCATGTTACTCATTTTTCATTAAAATAGCACTTTTGATTTCCTTTAAGAACTTTCTCTTTGGATTCACAATGTGGCTAACTGGCACAAGAGGCCTAGCTTTTGGCCTGTATTAGCTTTTGACTTGCCTTTTTCACTAAGCTTAATTGTTTCTAGCTTTTGATTTAAAGTGAGGGACATGCCACTCTTCCTTTCACTTGAACACTTAGAGTCCATTGTAGAGTTACTAATTGGCCTACTTACTTTTTTTTTTTTTTTTTTTTTGAGATGGAGTCTCACTGTGTTGCCCAGGCTGGAGTGCAATGGCGCAATCTCGGCTCACTGCAAGCTCCACCTCCCAGGTTCATGCCATTCTCCTGCCTCAGCCTCCCGAGTAGCTGGGACTATAGGCGCCCACCACCGCGCCCAGCTAATTTTTTTGAATTTTAATAGAGACGGGGTTTCACCGTGTTAGCCAGGATGGTCTCGATCTCCTGACCTCGTGATCCACCCGCCTTGGCCTCCCAGAGTGTTGGGATTAAGGAGGGAATAAGGAGGCCCAAGGAGAGGGAGAGAGACGGGGGAGTGGTTGGTCAGCGGAGTAGTCAGAACACACACATTTATCAGTTAAGTTCACCATCTTATACAGGCACAGTTTATGGTGCCCCAAAACAATTGCAGTAGTAGATAAAAGATCATTGATCACAGATCATCCTAACAGATATAATAATAATGCAAAAGTTTGAAATACTGTGAGAATTGCCAAAATGTGACATAGACATGAAGTGAGCATCACATGCTGTTGGAAAAATGGTGCCAGTGGACTTGCTTGATGCAGAGTTGCCACACACCTTCAATTTATTTAAAAAATGCAATATCTGTCAAGCACAGTAAAGCAAAGCACAATAAAATGAAGTATGCCTGTACTGTGTATGTTAAATAATTCTGAGATTCAAGTTGGTTTTTGTTGTTGTTTTGTGTGTTTATTTTTAATTTGGTTCAGTACCAGTGGGGGAAAATGAGAACTAACTTTTGAGTGCTTACTACATCTGGCATGTGCTAGGTACTCTCACATCCCTAATCTTATATATTCTTACTGTATTCCTGTAAAGTAGGTCATATCCCTATTTTATAAATAAGGAAAATGAGTCGATTAGAGTAAGTGACTTTAATAGCCATTGGACCTCAAGGGCAGCAGATACCAACCGACATGTATAGGATTTCCAAAGGCAACTTTTTAATGATAAATTAGGTGATTGTGCTTTGTTAGTGTCTGATATTTCCACCATTTATTCTTGATGCAAAGAGTCTAGTATAAAGATGGCTATATGCATGAGAAATAAACTTTGATTGTTTTGAGTTCTGCCACTTGTAGAGGTGTCAGACTTCATCTGCTGTATTCTTGATGTTGTAAAAGTTAAGTAAAAAATTCACTTAAAACAGCAATCTGTAATATATATGTATAGATTTCTTTTGAGCCCATAAATGAAAACTTTTTTTCTCCGAGACGGAGTCTTGCTGTGTCGCCTAGACTGGAGTGCAGTGGCACAATCTCAGCTCACTGCAACCTCCGCCTCCTAGGTTCAAGATATTCTCCTGCCTCAACCTCCCGAGTAGCTGGGATTATAGGCACATGCCACCACGCCCAACTAA